ACGACCAGGAGAAGGAGTACATCTAGGGAGGCAGGGGCCCAGATCTCGAGGCTGCGGCCGACGTCGAGGGCAGGCGCGCACTGGAGGCTGCTGGACTCGACCAACACTGCGTCCAAGTCCAGCATGCCGCGCTGGCTGCAGGAGGAGGCCGGCGGGGACATCATCTTTATCCAGGAGACTGGCGTGGCCCCGGACACGAAGGCGAAGGCAGGGCAGGCCCGCCGCCACGAGGGCTGGAAGGCGGCGCTCACGGTGGCGAGGCGCACCGGCCAGGGGGGGCCGTCTTGCGGCGTCGGGCTGGCGTGCAGGGCCCATCCGGGCATGGGCTGGGCGCCAGAAGGCCCGCCGCTGCCCTCCGACCGCATGGTCGCGCGCTGGATCAGCGCAGCTGCGCCGGGCGGCTTCCTGGCGGTCTCGCTCTACCTGGTGGCGGCCAGCGGCCTAAGACCCAGGGCAAGGTGTTGTTAGCCCAGGTCGGACAGCGCCCCGAGGCCGCGGGAGCCCCGCGCGCGATCGCAGGTGGCTGGATCTGCGCGCCGGAACTGGAAGCATGAGGCTGGCCTGACCGAGTCCCTGGCTTCGCGGCGAGCTGAGGGCGGCCCGCCTGCCGGGTCGGAGGCGGCACGGAGATGGAGTATTTCGTGGTCCCCAGCGCCGTGGGCGCGGCGGTCAAAGGGGCGCGTCGGCCGCGGGCGACGCTGGGCCCTCGCTACCCTGTGGGGCCGCGGCTAGACGGGCCAAGGTCACAGAGAGGGCCCCCTTCCACCGAGCGCCGCGGGTTTACCCAGCTGGCGGGCCGATCGGCCCGAGGCGGCAGCCGCCGCGTTGGCGGGGCTTGCTGCGCAGCTTGGCGGAGGCCATCGCAGCGCGGGGGCTTGGTGCGAGGTCGGGCTGCGAGCGCCGCGCGGTCACCATGGGCGGCGCTTACGAGGAAGATAGCAACGGCCCAGAGGAGGCGGAATAAGAGGTGGAGGAGGCGGAGGATGAGGAGGCGTCTTCTTCGGCGGCGGGCGTCGAGAGGGCGGCGGTCGCCAGCGCCAGGATGATCGGCTCCGCCGGCGGAGGTCGGCGGGAGGCCCGCGGAGTCCGTTGGCCAGGGGCCAAATTCCAAACGGTTGCAGACGATGGTTATGATGACGACCACGTTGATGACGCTAATTTTCACGAGGCTATGTTTTTTGGGGGGGGGGCGAAGTCCGAGGTTCGAGGGGCGATGTTTCAGGGCGTTTTCGCTAGTTCTCGGCGGTTTTCCGACTTGGGGACGCGCTTCAGCTGCGCATCGCCGAGGGCGTCCGGAGGGGTGCCCATATCGTCCCGAACGGCCGCTGGAGACCCGAGTTGTGGCCCGAAGCCTGGGGGCATCGTTACAGGCCATACGGTCAGGAGCTTTGGCCTAGCGTGTCGCCCCGATGGTTCTGGCCCGCCACGCTTCGGCGCGGTACGCCGTCCACCTCGCGGTCCCCAGGCCTCCACGTTCCGAGCTCTCCCCGGCCTCCCACCCCGCGAAGCGTAGCGACACGCTATCTGTTTGCAAGGCATAGCGTGTCGCCGGGGATGCCGCCGCGACACGCTGAGCAAAAGTTCCCGACCGTACCCGATCGTGATAGTACGGCGAGGGCATTGGATCAGGAGCCCTTCGATGAGGAATCCCGGGTCTGGAGGCATGTGGAACACGAATTGGAATTTGGCCATCGATATCACCACCGCCCTTATCAGATAAGGAATCCTCCGGGGTCTGAAGCCTCCTGGGCGCATTTCTCAACGAACGCCCCCACCGTAATGACGGCAAAAACGATAAGGATGGTAATGTGAATGGTATTGTTGATGCTGCTGATCATGATGACGGCTTCCCTCGGGGTGGTCCAACTGGCTGCCTGCTCTCGAACCAGTGTGGGCACTATGCTCACAAGGGGGCACTGCGACGCAACATATTGTCTTAGCGCGCGCCGAGGCCCCCCTCGCGCCCAAAAGTATACGACCACCTCTATGATGACGATCGTGATTATGAACATGCGTATGGTTCTGATCATATCGTACTGGTCTGCATCGCTGGATGATGACGTCGACAACGATAGTGACAATGCAAATAGTGATGTGGGTAAACATCGGGGACCGTACAGCACGTCGTCGCCTCCTGAAGCGCCATTACCGCCAATGCACAGACATAACCTTTTCAGATGTTTGCCAGTGTGGGCTCCTAAGGGTGGGTTCTTACACTCTGAATGCGATCACCCTGTGGTACAGTATATGGAGTTCTACGTGGCGCACGTTGTTGAACCTATGTGGTGCAAGCTACGCAGTGCACACTGTTGGGTGCGCTCAATTCGAGTCATTACCTGGAGTGCACTCTAATGTGGTGCAGTCGATGCCAGACAATTAACTGTGAAACCCTTGACGTCGTCAACCCCACCGCTCGAGCAAACATCACCCACTCACCCACCCGCGACTTCTAGGCAATAGCCAGCTCGCGGAATGACGCGTTTATCGGTATCTTGCAGATCGTTTGATTCGGGCGGGCGGGTGATGATGGCGACGACGCAAATATCGGCGACGATGACGGCGATGATGATGTTGCTGATGCTGGTAAGATTGATACTGATCGGGAAGACATATGGCCCTGATGATGATGATTCTAGTGATGGTGATGGTGGTGGCGAGGATGACGAGGGCGACGACAACAAAGATCACGATAACAATGATGATGGCGACGGTTGTGATCATTACGACGGTGGTGGCGTCTGTTAAAATAATTGTGACGATGACGACGGCAAGGGCAAAGCTGGCGTTGATGCACATGCTGTAGATGATGAGTATGATGACGATGATGCTGAGGATGATGCTGATGACCACGCTGATGATTGTGCTGCTGATGCTGCCGCTAATGTTGTTGCTGCTGATGATGATGATGCTGCTGATGGTGATGATGATGATGATGGTTTTGATGATGGGTATGATGATCATCATGGTGATGGGAAAGATCGCCATGATTATGGAGATGAAGATGAAGATACTGACGATGATGCTCTTGAGAACGGTGAGGAAATGCGCGTGCAGAATACCCGACATTTGTCATACAATTGTCTTTCATAACGGCTTAGGGGACCATATGCTTTTGCAGTGGGTTTGACGTGCTTGCGCGGGCGCACGCACGTGTGGCCCACATGGTATAAGTTTACACAGTTGGCGTGTACGCCGTGGTTATTGGAGGATTCCCACGCGCGCGCGTTTGGCCCGCATGGTCTCCTTCGGCAGACAGGGAGACAATCTTCTGGGTTCCGGGTGATTCGACGGAGCATTCGCATTGCAATTCGGCATGTGTTGTCGACGGAGCATCATTTGTTGACAGCTTCTGCTCGACATTGCTTGAATACGCGATGCAAGCTCTGTTTTTAGATATATGTCACCGCACCGTTTGATCCGACGCGCGGCCTTCCGTCTTTGAGAGGGCGCCGCGGCCACCAGGGAAGACTCCGCTTCAGACGCGAGGCTTGGTGTGTGGTTCGCCGCGGTGCCGGCGTCGTCTGCTTGGACGCGTTCGGAACATACGGCGCGGCGACAGAGGAGGGGGAGGAGGATAGGGAGAAGGAGAAGGAGGAGGAGGACGAGAAGCGGGAGGCAAGGAGGAGGAGTCAGGGAGTAGGAGGGGAGGAGGAGGAGGAGGAGGAGGAGGAGGAGGAGGAGGAGGAGGAGAAAGAGGAGGAGGAGGAGGAGGAGGGAGGAGGAGGAGGAGGAGGAGGAGGAGGAGGAGGAGGAGGAGGAGGAGGAGGTGGAGGAGGAGGAGGAGGAGGGGAGGAGGAGGAGGAGGAGGAGGAGGAGGTGGAGGAGGAGGAGGAGGAGGGGGAGGAGGAGGAGGAGGATGAGGAGGAGGAAGAGGAGGAGGAGGAGGTGGAGGAGGAGAGGGATGAGGCAGGGAGGAGGAGGAGGAGGAGGCAAGGAGGCGTGCAAGCCACGTGGTGCAATCCCATGTGGTGCAAGCTGCGGCAGCAGTCGGAAGTGCGAGCTGGCGCCGCGGCGGGCACGCGGTGGGCACGCGGTGCGCCCACGAGCCGAAGGTTCGGAGCCGTCCAGTAAGGAGCCGAACGCTATACACCGACGCCTCTGTTCAAGCAGTGGCGAAGCGTCCTGGCGTGCCTATAGTCCTGCCAAACAGTGTTCTAAGAACATGTTGTGGTTCCCTCGAAATGTTCTTAGAACACTTCTGGCGGAGTCTGTGCTGTTTGATCACATCGGGCTTATGTTCTAAGAACATTGTTTTTGTTCTTAGAACATTTCTGGGTTCTAAGTGCATTTCGTGGTAGGAATATATATATATATGTATAATGCTGGGAAGGTCGGTCCCTGCTCAATCCTACCCTGACACGTCGATTAGCGAATGGGCCGTTTTCGGTTCGCGAGAGGGCGTCGCGGCCGTCATGTTCGCGGGTCCAGGTCCGTCGGTGTCGGTCCCAGGCCGTTTTCACTAAGGGGAGGTCTACTAAAGGGAGGTTTGTCCACCGCCGATTGCCTGGCCTCACACTGAATCTCGCACAGGAAAGCGGATCCTGGTGCATACGGGATCTTGGTGCATGCATTCTTCGTTGTTTCCCCGAGAGAGCGGGGACAACAATTATACAACCACACCACCCCGGCGTCGTCCCCGACCCTCAACAAAAATTCTGGGTTTGAAAAAACCAGCGCAGTTTCCGAACTATGCAGCGCATGGAGTTGGCACGAGGCGGGCGCGCGGCGCCTACCAGGCGGAAAGCCCGGAACCGCAGCCAGGCGTTGAGGGAACGAAGCGGGCCCCGAGTGCAAGCACTGCTTGGGGAGAACAGTTCCCCTGGCGCTCTCTTTGCGGCATGGTCTGCCGACCCCCACGAAAACTGGGCGTCGCCCCTGCCATCTTCATCCTCTTGCCATTTCCTGGTCCTTTGCTTTCCTCTCCGGCATCGTCGTTGCCATTCCCGCTTCTGCCTCATCCTCCGCCTTTCTCCCTCCTTCTCCTACGGCGCGGCAACGGGGGGCGGCCGGGCAGGACAGGCAGGGCGCCCGTTGCCCGAAAACGGACTTTCTGTGGGGGGAATGTTTCGGCGAGTCCAGAGAACTCGGCATGCTTTGTTTCATCAACCAGGGCTCGACCATAGGTCATGGAACGCCACTCGATCCATGGAGTGTTCCGCGCTGTGCCCTGATCGGGATGGCTTGGCCGGCGTCGGGATCAGGCTTTGAATGCGCCTGGTTGGAGGCTGCACCGACACCAGTGGATTTCTTTAGCTTGGCACTGTAGAACAATGCTTCACTAGAAGATGCAGCGCTCACGAGGAGGTCCTACTCGTCGTGTGCTTAGGAGGCTTGCTAGTTCCCCAGGGATCTGGGCTTTCGGGGGCCGCGTAGTTAAGACATGGATCGTCTTTCCTCTGCTTTCCGTACCTCACCTTTTCTGCCTCAGGCAATTTGTTTCAAGCCTGACATATCATCCGTACATACATTTGCCACAGTTCCGAATCAACAGTTGTCCTCGTCATGAAGGTTGCCGCGGCTCTTCTTTGGGTTTCACTCGAACGGGGCATGACCTTGACGACTCGGGATGCAACAGAAACCAGCGTCAGCGTCAATGCCAGCCCAGACGAACCAGAAACATATGACCCAGAGGATATCGAGGTGCGGGAATGGATGGGTGCAGATGGGATGGCGATTATTGAGAAAGAGATCGCCGCTGGGCATGCCGCCCTCTCGACCAGCTTGCAGGCCATTGACAGGCTCTTCGGCGCTCGGCAGAGCGGTGTCAGCCCGACGCCGATCTCTACGATCTGCGAGACTATCGGCGTGAAGACGCAGGCGTGTGGAAGAGTCGGGGAATACCTGGGCCGCCTTGCCAATGTCGACACAAGGGTGTCTGTTAAGGTTCCGAAGTTCGCAGCTTACGTTCCTTGCGACGTCTTGTTTGCAACCAGTTTGCGCAAACTATGCGAGCTTCCCGCGAACGGCCCTTCCCTGGTCTACAGGGCTGACATCTGCAAAGCCCTCGCTTCTGCTCCGCATGTCATTGGAGAAGGGCATGCGCTCTTCAAGTTTGGCGACAGAAGGGATGCGAGTGCGTGCTTTCCCACCTTTTACAAAACTCGTCTCATGAAGAAGCGTGACGATAACTACGTTCTCTTGGATTTGAATCACGGGCGGCATTGGGGTCCAATGAACAAGGTTGCCGACGCAGACATTCCATGGGCGTCCAAAAGCGCAACGCTTGTCTGGCGAGGGGTGTCGACTGGCACATGCGATACGGGTGCTGTTAACTCGCGCATGATGCTTTGCAATAAGTGGTACAGTTCTACGGACTCCAGAATTGACGTTGGCATAACTGCGGTCGCCCAGAACTGCAACTTGGCGGGCCGGTACATGAAGCCTGCGAAGTCCATGGAGCAGTTGCTCACAACGAAATATCATCTCCTTGTGAACGGCAACGACAAGCCCTCCGGCTTGAACTGGGTATTGCTTTCAAATTCTGTCCCATTCATGGTTGAACCTGATATTGAGAGTTGGCTCCTGGAAGCATCTTTGAAACCTTGGGAGCACTACATCCCAATCAAGCCAGACTTCTCAGACCTCAGCGAGAAGGTCGACTGGGCGGTGCAGAACGACGGCGAGGCAGAGCGAATCGCAAAGGCGGGGAAGGAGTACGTGCAGCAGTTCGGGACCACTGAGGAGGAGATGGCCGTACAGGCAGCAGCCCTCGCCTAAACTGAATTATTCGACGCGGAGTTCCCCATCTGTGCATATCTTTTCTGGTGAATTTCCCTGCGTATGGGTGCCTGAGGATCAGCGAGGCTGGGCGACTGAGTACAAGCGGGTCTAACTGCAAGCGAGCCTGGGAATGAGTGGGCCATGGGGCCCGTGACACCGCTGGTCGGCTCACCCCCGTAGATGACCCAACTGCCATGTTTCGCGGTGATCCTGGGAGTCATCAGTGCAACACGTATTCCCCCCAAGCAAGCATTCCGTTCAAGACATTCACACAATCTGGGCGCGAACGGGCCTGTACAATATCCCATGGCGGCTCCTATTTGGGTGGCCGCAATGACATGCCTCCTACATCAGGGTGATCACGGAGCTCAGAAACACGACACGCCTACTTGCGACACACCGCCGTAGTCCTCGGGCCTGAGAATAGGCATGTTTACCTCAAGCAACAAGTGTTTCGCTGGAGGCATCCCTGCTATCGGGACGCCAACGGCATCGCGCAATACCACCTTGCGGCTCCCCCTAGCTGGTCCAAGTGCCTGCTACATCGCAGTGATCACAGGGCTATGAAAAGAGATTCGTCCACAGCCGCGAGCGAACAGGCGTTTCACTCCAGAAGTCCTTATACTGTGGGCGCCAACGGGCCCGTGCAATGCCCCCCAGCGGCTCCCCCCCCGAGTGGTCCAGATGCAACGCCTCGTACATCGCGGTGATAGCAAGGCCCTGAAACATGACGCGTCCACAGCCTCGACCTGGCGTTTCGCTGGAGACATCCCCGCAATCTGGACGCGAAGGAGCCCGTACAGTACTCCCCGGTGGCTCCCCCATGGGTGGTCCAGACTCCATGGCTGCTACATTGTGGCGATTATAGGGCTCTGTGCAGAGACGCACTCTCGCTGGAGACTTCCCCACGATCTGGACGCGAATGGGCCTGCACGATACCCAATGCCCAGTAGCGACTCCTCTTCGGGTGGCCCAAATACCATGACTGCTACTTCGCGGCGATGCCAGGGCTCTAAAAAGCGACGCGTCCACAGGCCGTGCAGTGCCGCTTGGGTGGTCCAACGCCATGCCTGACTCATCGCGGTAATCGTAGGGTTACGACGAGAGACGCGTCCGCAGCTGCGAACTGGCGTTTCTCTCGATACATGCCCACAGCCTGGACGCGAACAAGCCAGTGCAATTCCCCTCCGGCGGCTCCACCTTGGAGTGCCCAAGTGGTACACCAGCTAAATGTGAGTGAATCTGGGCATGAGTCAGTGTGGGTTTGAGCAAATCCGAGTGTGACTGGGCCTGGGTGAATGATTCTGGGTGCGATTGAGTCTGAGGGTCAGTGAGCATGAGTGTGGTTTAGTCTGGCTATGAGGTCGTAGGGGTATGAGAAAGTTGGAGCCAGAGTGGATCTCAGTACAAATGACCCTAGGCATGGGTGAATATGGGCAGGTGGGAATATATGTATGAGTGCGTATGCGTATGAGTGAACTGCGTATCGTTTAGTCTGGATATGACCGGATGTGAGTATGAGTGAGCATGGTATTGATAAGTGAAGACCATTGAATACGGATCTTAGTGCGTCCTGGGTGTGTGGGAGTCCGAGTAGCAGTGGTCCGAGTACGAGGAAGTCTCAGCATGAGTGAGTATGATTGTGAGTCTGGGCGTGAATAAGTCAGAGAGCCAGTGAGAGGGGTAGGAGGTGGGATGGAATGAAGCGGAGGCATCTCGTTAATAACAGTAACCCTAGATTGAGAAGGTGAGAAGCACACAAGGATGATCATGAACCACTCAGGACACTAAAAACATAAACACGCTACATCACACTACAGGCAGCGGTCCTGGCCGCGTACGTCGACCGCATGGATATCGCAGACGGCGGGGCCAGTGTCAAGCTTGAGGGCACCTGCTAGCTCGACGGCCAGTGATGGCAGGTTGAGGATGAGGAGTGGCTCTAGGCCCCATTTCTCGACCTCTCCCACTCGCCCTCTTCGTTTCGCTTTTCCGAATCCCTCTGCTCCTGCACGTTCTCCCGCGTACGCATGGGCCAGCAAGAAAGCTCGACCAAGGGTACATTCGGGTGCCGTAGTGTCATGCTCGGCGTGGTTCGCATTGCCCAGCGGAGTTCAGCTGACCAAAACAGACCGCAGCAGCTCTCCCATGATTATTGGCTGCAACGGCTGCGAGAATGCAGCCGCCTCGTCGCCCATGGCCCCCTTCCTATTTCAGCTGTTTTCAGTCCTCGTTGTCCTTCTCCTCTTCCTCCTCCTCCCCGCCCCTCCTCCTCCTCCTCCTCCTCCTCCTCCTCCTCCTCCTCTTCCTCCTCCTCCTCCTCCTCCTCCTCCTCTACTGTAGCCAGTCTTCTCAAGCCCTGGGCCAGCTGCACCTCGTCCGCCTGCCGCGCTCGCCCCTCTGGCCGTGACCACGCTCGCCGCTCGCGGCGCCTCCCGGCTGCGACGCCGTGGCCCCTGCTGCGTCCTGGTGCTTCTCGCTGCCGCCGTCCTCTGCTTGCCTCCCTGCGCTCCGCAGAAAAGACATCTTTGTGTGCTCCACGACCGTGCCTGGCCAGGGCCACCCTGGGCCCCGGGCCAGTGTGTGTAGACCCTCCCGACGCCGGCCAGGAGGGCGTGCGCGCCATATGGCGGGGCCCAGGGTAACCCCGGCCAGGCCGGCCCCGGCCGGGCCGGGCAGTGGTGCGCAGGTGCCCTCTGCAAGTTCGCGTTCCTCTCGGCCGCGGCCGTCGTCGAGATGCAGGCGCGATACGTATCGGTGCCTCTGGGTCCAGGCGGTGCCGCGGGTCCTCGGGCCCTCTGCGGCGTTCTGAGGTGACAGGCGGGTCCGTCCAGGAACGATCCCTAGGTGGGCTGAGTTGCATCGATCATGTTCGGCGCGGAGCGAGGGGTTGAAGTGAGAAGCAGTAGGCCTGCTCAGAAGGCGGCGGGGCTTCTCAGAAGCGCCCCGGCCTTCTGGGAGGCTTTGTGTGCCTCCGGGAGAGGCTTAGAACATCTCTCAGATGGCCGGGGGACTTCCGCGCCTTCTGAGGAGGCCCGCCCCCTCTCGCCTGGGCGCGCCGCCGACATGTGGAGAGTACGGTCAAGACCATGCCGAAACGAGGACCACTTCGGGCTCAGGTGGGGCTCCGGTCCTCGGGCCGTTCCTTCGGTCCAGGTCGGGGAGCCTACCTGCGGCCAGGGCTCGCAGAGGCCAAAACGGTTTCTTCGTGCCTTCTTCAGCGTCCCTCCATGGTCACGCGATGACCTTCGGAGCACGTGTTGGCACGGCGAGGGGGCGGGAGAGGCAGCCGCCCCATCGGCTCTCTCTGTCCCGTGCCTTCTTCTGCTGCGGGCAAGATTTGTTGCAGTGAACTCCGGCCAGTGCCGCCGATCCGGGGCGCTCCCGACGGTGCGGGGGTTCGCTTGCCGAGATGTTCGGTTGCTTGGGTGGCCGTAGGCTGGTGGCCGACAGGCTGTTTTGGCAGGCTGTTTTGGCAGGCCGATGGCAGGTCGGGTGCTGTCTGTGTTTGCGTCTTGGCAGCTTGTTTGCGGGCTCGTTGTCTGCCGGCTCGGCTCGTTGGTTGCTGGTTGGGCGGCCCGTAGCGTGAAATTTCCCCTTCACTGTTCCTCCTCTTTCATTTTCCGCTGGTCTTATGGGACTGCTTCTCTGGTTGTCCTCTTGCTGTTGCTACTGATTTCTACTTAGAGCGCTCTTGGTCTACATCGGGGGCATCGGGGGTTGTAGGCAGGCGTTTTCACACCGTCTTGGCGCCACAGTGGGTTGTCTTGAGTCCGTTTCGGTGCTATCTTTGGTCTGCTATATGTTCGGTGCTCTTCATTGCAGAGCTTGATATCGAACACGTCCGCACACTTTGCCACGCGTGTTTTGCCTCCTTGTGTGACACGCTTTGTTCGAATCGTCGTTGTGTTCAGTTGGAGTGATCGCCCTGGCTCATAGCGTTGTCCGGGTTTTGCATCGTGGATCGTTGGTGGTACTTCTCGCGCATCTCTCGATGCCACACAGACATGTTCCGAAAGCTGGTTACAAAGAGTGGAGGAAGGCAGCGATCGGATTCAAGAGGAGATGGCAGGCCTCAAGCAGCAGGCGGTTAGTCTCACAACACATGGTCAATAATCTCGTGGCTTGCCAGACAGACTAAGGAGCTATTGGACACATTGGAATGCATTCTTTCACCCAGTGACGTGGCCCTACCTGCGGCGCGCAGAGATAGGTTTGGCACGCCCCGTGCCGACGAGCATACAAGCACATGGTGCAATCCCTTGTTCACGCGAGGGGAGCGAGCGCCTGGAACAAGTGCACTCTCTATTCGGGTTTCTGAAGCTGGAGCGGGTGGCCGAACATCTACATGATAGTTTTTTATGGGTGTCACGTCGTATCGGTCCCGATCGCAGGACGTACGTTCTTCCGGAATGGTTTGGAAGAGTTAGCTGGCACCGACACTTAAATCATACAGGGGCAAAAAGTGCCAGATGTACCGTACGACGCTTTCGAGATCTTAGCGAACATGGTGGCACAACATGATATCGGGGACAATCGCATCTCCGACGTACATTGGGAACAGCTTTCGTGCACCATATGATTTTGAGACAGTGGGGCCTAATTTGCTGCACTTGCGGTTAGCTGCAAGAACGCATGCCGACTCGATGATTGATTATGCGCGTGATGCTTGGAAGTTGTGGGGTAATGTTGGGGAAGCTGGCAGCCTCATTGTACTCGGAGGTCAAAATTCATTTGCGCGTTGGCACATTGGTCGAACATGCACAAAACAACTGCGTGGAGGCATCTAATACCAAAGGGGAGTTGCGGACGTCTACATGTACAGCAGAAATTGTCGAGAATTCCTGCACGATTGCAAGGTGCGGCAATGCCAGAACGGCGTGGGAGGGCAGATTTAGCAGGCGTTCGCTTCCGCATCGTGGGGTGCACGCTCTGATTCGCAAGGTAGCTGTTAAGACAAGCAGGAACAGCCCGCCGCAAGGCACAATGTTTACAGTTGTTCGTGCAATTTGAGCCAACGGGTCACAGTACTCGTTTCAGCACTTTTCAATGCAAACACGTATCCTTACATGCATCGCACCGGCCTCTCAAAGACCGTATGCTGAAGTGTGCAGCAATCCCTTTGCCTCGTCGTCTCTGAGGGCTCCGGCCCACCGCGCCGCCCTGATAGGGCCGGCCCCGCCAGACCGACACCGCGCGCTCGCTCGCTCGCTCATGTTGTAGAGCTCTTAGGATATCAGCTGGCGCTGGCGAAGTCGGCGGAACTAGCTCTTCACGCCGCACACCGCGGCTGCTTTCAAAAGCGGACGCCCCGAGCCCCGGACACCGGGGACCCGGGTCTCGGCCTGATATCGTCAAAAAAAGATAGGGGAGCTAAGTTGAATTTCTGGTAGATGATCTTCAGTTGATCTTGCACATCTTAAGTTAATCGTGCAGAGTTTCAGTTGATCTGCCAGATCTTCCATATCTTCGACGGTTGAAGTTGTGGAAGATACGGAAGTTCTTTTGTTTTATAAAACTGTTTTTTACAGCGTTTGTAGATACGGAAGATAGGTGTTGGAGTGGTTGAAGATGTAGAAGATAAGTCGAAGATCGGTTCTGGCTTGTTATCCTTTGTTGTAAGAGAAACGCGGTGCGAACATAGGTTTTCTATAATTTCATGTTTTGAATAAGTGCGTTATGTCTGCCCCCACCATAGTGTTGTATTGATTGTTTTTCCTTCAGCGGTTTGCGCTGCCGGTGCTTGCGCGTATCATGATTTTCATGTATTTGGCACTATCCGGCGCTTTGCGCTGCTCCTCCCCCCTCCAGCGCTTTGCGCTGCTCCTCCCCCCCAGCGCTTGCGCTGTTGGAGGGCGGAACAGGAGGAAGGAGGAGCAGGACGAGGGAGGAGGGAAAAGGGAGGAGGGAGGAAGGACGGAGGACGGAGGACGGAGGACGGAGGACGGGGAACGGATGAGGGAGGAGGGAAAGGGGGGCGGAGGAGCGGGAGAGGAGGAGGAAGAGGAGAGGAGGAGGGAGGAGGGACGAGGAGGGAGGACGAGGAGGAGGTGACGAGGAGGAGGGAGGAGGAGGGGAGGAGGAGGAGGAGGAGAGGAGGGGGGAGGAGGAGGGAGGTCCACCTCCCTCCTCCTCCCTCCACTCCCTTCTCCTCCCCTCTCTCCCTTCCCCCTCCCTCCTCCTCCTCTCTCCTCCTCGTCACTCCTCCGTGGGAAGCCCTCAGGCCGTCCTCCTCCGTCCCCTCCGTCCTCCGTCCTGCGTCTCCGTCCTCCATCTCTGTCTGTCCTCGTCCTCCTCCCTCTCCCTCCCCCTCCCTCCCCTCCCTCCCTCTTCCTCCCCCTTCCCTCCCCCTCCCTCCTCCCTCCCCCTCCCCCCTCCCCTCTCCTCTCCTCCTCCTCCTCCTTCCTCCCTCCCTCCTCCCCCTCCTCCTCCTCCTCCTCTCCTCCTCCCTCCTCCTCCTCCTCCTCCTCCTCCTCCTCCTCCTCTTCCTCCCCCTCCTCCTCCTCCTTCTCCTCCTCCTCGGTCGGCCGAAGCGTGTCAGCGCTGCCAGATGGCAGCCGAGGGGGCCTGTAGAGGGCCACCACCGACGCCGACGGCGACGGTGACGCCGCCACCGACGCCGCCGACGACCGCGACGGCGACCGTGATGCCGCGCCGACGACCGCCGACGGCTGAGACGGCAGAGACGCCGAAGGGCGGCGGTGGTCGTCGGCGCAGCCCTTCGGGGCAGCCGGGCAGCCCGCGCGGCGGTCCTCGGCCCTTGCCCTTGCCGGGGGGCGGGCTCGCGCTCGGCTCGGCCTGGGCGCTCCCGGGCTCGCGGGCGCGCGCGGGCGCGCCCGCGAGCCCGCGGATAACGCCTCGATAACATCTCGAAAACATATCGATAACATTCGATGGCAATGCTATCGACATTTTACCGAGGCGTCATCGAGATGCTATCGGGTATTATCGAGCTCGGTAACACTTGATACCGCCGCGACAGCACCTCCATAACATTTCGATACCATGTTACCGGGATGTTATCGGGGTGCTATCGAGTGTTATCGAGTTCGGTAATGCTCGGTAGCACCTCGATATAATTTCGGTAACATTCCGATATCTGTGTTACCGAGGTGTTATCGAGGCG